CTTCCGAAACTCCGGCGGAGTTCGCCGACACCGTCGCTGGAGATGATTTGAAACGTGTAAGCCTCGCTTTCTTGATTCTCTCGTTCGATTCGATTAGCTTAGGGTTTCTAATTCTCGTTGATTTAGCTTTCAGAGTCCTCTGAAATCTGGACTCTACCTAGTTGGAACTCCCATCGGGAACCTCGAAGACATCACTCTACGGTACTTCCCTGAACTTCAAATGCTTCCATTTTCTATTCAAAATGATAGAAAATTTGCGGTTCCATAGATTAGTGTTGTTTCCTGATTGATTCTTAATTTTTTGTAAATCTCTATTCTCGTGTGATTTGTGTTGTAGATGTTCCTTCTTCAATCTATATACGCTATAGAGTGGAAAGTGACTGAGCTGCAAACATATCAATCTTGTGTTTCATTAGAACATATATTTTGTTGGTTTGGGGAATGGTTAAATAATTTGCCCTTGTTAGTTTCATAACTTGTTCCTACATTTTGGACAATGGTAGTGCTCTTCGTGTATTGAGATCGGCTGACGTGATACTCTCGGAGGATACGAGGCACTCGGGAAAGTTGCTTCAGTACTACAACATCAAAGCTCCGCTTGTAAGTTTGTTCGGGTTATTTTGCTCACCTTCTTTATCAAGCGATGATTTGAATTACGAGGTCTAGTTTTTCAGCTCAGTTATCACAAGTTCAACGAGGCACAGAGAGAACAGAAGGTGTTGAAGAGATTGAAGCAAGGGGAGATTGTGGCTCTTATCAGCGACGCTGGGACACCGGGAATTAGTGATCCTGGTACTGAACTTGTGAGTGCGAAACTTTTTGGCCTATTCTTGAATCTGTGATGTTGTTTTGTTACCCTTTATCCTTTTATAAAGAGCTGCAACTGCATGGAGTTTTACTTTGCTGATGATAAGATAGTGATAACCATGTTTGCAAATTAATTTTATTCTATTGAGGGTTTTCAGTTGGATATGGCTTTTGTTCATAATCAGCCAGTGTAGCTGAAAAATTCCCTTGTTTGTTGTGCCCTGAGCATAAACATGGGGTTGCCCCTCTCAAAGAAAACTACTTTAGGTTTAAGCTTACAAATATGTGTGTATAAGTATGGAGTAATATGTCTCTGGGAGCGGTTCGATGCATTCAGAATGCAACCAGTCTTCTATTCTTGTCTGAAAGTGCCTTCTCTGGAACTATTGCCTTTGTAGTAGTCATAATAAATCCGTGTGATCACATTTTTAGCTTTTGTTTTGGGTGGACATGATGAACAATGTGATACATTACAATTCCACAGGCAAAAGCATGTGTGCAAGAGAACATAGATGTGATTCCTATTCCAGGGCCTTGTGCAGTGGTGGCTGCTCTTTCCGCCTCGGGTCTGGATACAGATGAATTCACATTTGGTAACTTCCTGATGACGATCCTTCTCCTCGAGATTTCAATTAAGCTGTTGCATACTTTTGGCTTGTATATACGCTTGTAGATCTACTAACAACTGAATTTTCACAGTTGGATTTCTTCCTAAGCATGCCGGATCGAGGAGAGAGAGGCTGCTGGTTTCAGCAAACGAGATGAGAACACAGATCTTTTATGTTCCCCCGCACAAGCTGTCGCAGTTTCTTGAAGAAACTTCCTCATACTTTGATGAATCCAGGTTAATAATCTGCCCTCTGGTATAGCGCTGCTTCTTTTACTATATCAGCCGTCAGTTTTGATGTTTCAAGCAATGTATAATGCCTAACAGCCGCTACTTGATTTCTATATGATATCGATCAAATTTCGTAAAACATGTTCTTTAACGGATTAATAAGATTGTGAAATTTTTCTGTGTGGCAGACACTGTGTCGTAGCTCGAGAAATTACAAAGCTGCACGAAGAGGTAACAAGTCCTGCAATGTTCATATATGGCAACACGGTGGTATATATATAGATTGGCTGACGAGATCGTTTTGAATCTAGTTCTGGAGGGGTACCCTCGGGGAAGCCAAAGAAGCATTTCTGATTCGCCAACCAAAAGGCGAAATAACACTTCTGATCGAAGGAAAGGAAGAAACTAAAGTCGAAATGCCAACAGAGTCGGAACTCGAAGAAGAATTACGAAGGTTGATCTCTGATGGGCAAACCCTTTCCTCGGTAAAGCAACTCTCGACAGTTTACCCTCCTCAGAAACTCTTTCTGATACTGTTAGTTCTTGTGAAATTACTAAACTTACTGACTGTGAATCCATCGTACGACTTTTTACCAGGCGGTGAAAACTGTAGCTGAAAGGACGTCGACGAGGAAGAAAACGGTATATTCACTTGCGTTGAAGAAGTTCGGGAAGCACATTGAAGTAGAAGAAGAAGATTATGCAAAATGACCGAAAAGCTTCAGTGGAAGCGTTAACTGCGTTTAACCCATAGCTTCAGAGCCTTCAACAAAATCATTGTGAAATCCTGACGCTGTTTAAAAAAAAAAAAAAGATATGGGAACTTCACATGAGTGCAATTTTGATTAAATAATGCAAAACTTGTGTTAGTAAAAAAAAAAACAAGAAATTTGTCTTACAGTATACAACATAGAACATCAAATCATGAAGAAGCATATATGTTTCAGAAGAAGCATATTAGATGAGTTTACAAGGTTTTATTACAAAAGACGCAAACATAAACAGACATAGGAAAGACAAGAAAACTAAGTTTTCTGTCTCTCAAGCCGCAGAGGTAAGAGAGGCGTGCTTGTTCAGTGTCTGCTCGAGCATGGCTTTATCAGCACCGACCACCCTGTCTACTACATCCCCGTCTTTCATGAACACAAACGTCGGCATCGCCTCCACGTTGAAATTCTGAGCCACAGGCTGCACATATACACACACACTCGGATCCTTACATCTGTCTATGATACGATTCTCGAATGGAATACATGTTCGTGGAAATAAGAGGATGGTACGACTGGCTCACCTGCAACTCGTCGACATCAACCTTCAAGAACACGACATGGGGGTTCTTCTTGGCCAGATCCGCAAAGACCGGTGCAATCATACGGCATGGCGGGCACCATGTTGCCGTGAAGTCAATCACTACCTATTCATCGATCGGTCTGATCAGATTCAAGAGCTACTACCATAACTATACAAAAGAAATGCAACCAAACTGTTTAATCCCAAATATATTACTGATAATGCAAGAAAAGAATCATCATCTTCCAGGGGAACTCTTGCAGGCAATAGCAGCAAACTGAGCACAATGAGAATCAAGTTCATGCATAGTTTACAGCTCCGGATCAGAAGCCATTGATCCTACAAGTTTTTATGATTGGCCAATTCATAACAGATATTCGTCTCCTTTAACATCATTTACGTCATGTCTCAATCCTTTTCATCAACTGAGCTTCACTCTCTTAGGTCCTCAGCCTCGATGACGAGAGTATTCGTTGGACAAAAGAGACGATTGAACAATTGAAGTTTCCAAAATCTCCGCTCGAAATTGAACCAAATCGAAAGGAAACATCCGAATTCGATTGAAAAGTTAGAAACCCAAATCGGAGCAAAGTCAAACCAAAATGAACAAAATTAATTTAACAAAACCCTAAAACAACATAAACCCTAATTCCCAATTTTAAACAATAAAAATCACCAGGAAAACGAATCCAGAGAGAAGAGAAGAAAGCAAAAGTACCAATTTTTTGGCATCGTTAGCCGATTCGAGGATCATCGTCCACTCCTCAAGGCTGTGGCAAGCCATCACTTCATCCGACGCCATTTTCTCTTACAAATCTCCCTTCGATTCTTCGGTGAAGAACACTTGTTCGATCCGGTGGCGATTTTTTTTGGGGTCCTTTCTGAAATTTCTTAAAAGGGTGGTTTATTTAAAGAAAAAAAAAAAAACAGGAGGCCGTTCAGGTCATCATCCATCACCGCAATCGGGAGAGAATATAACGGCTTTAGATTAAAACACGTGTCAAATTGCGATAGTAGGGCGCGTTTGATGTACTCGCTTACGAATCGAATCGACGTAATAACGAAATATCATATACAATCGATATAAACACGAATCGGATTCGAATACAATTATTCTATTGGACAAATATATACTATTATTTAATCCTGAATATTAATATAGTCTGGATTGAAATATCTAGTTATCATAACAATTTTATATAAGGCCCATAATTATACTAAGGCCCATTATTTCAAATTTACAAATAAAGAAATAAAAAGCCCAGCAAACAACGACAACAACAACAGCACAACAGCACAACAGTATCTCAAACCCTGGCAGCTTTTAATATGTGTGTGTGCCATTTACGTTTTAAATTTATCTCTAAAATACTTATTTTTTATATGATTTGTTTACCTGCGAAAGAAATTTTAACCATTTATATAATTAGTTCTTATCACTGTATTTAAGATTATATCATTCTTGTTGTTGGAAGTAAAATATGTCATTGTATCTGTTAATATTTTAAAATATCTTAAACTAAAAAAATTAAAATTTAATATGGTACTTTTAAGTTTTAACAAAAAAAATGTTTAAGATTTAAAATGGGTATAAAAAAGAATGTTGTGGTATTTTAGAAAATATATTTAAAATAATAAAACACATGTAAATTTTAATTTCATTCTCTTGTTTGCCTTCAAGCCAACTCCATCGATCCACACCAAACTCACCCGCTCCGGACACAGACATCTCATCGCATCTTCCCTCGCGGATCTGAGTTCATCCACTATTTCTCGGCGAGATCCGTGAAATCCGCAGTAACTCGAATGCTCTGAGTTGAATAATCATGGTGGATAATTCGTTCCCGGGTCGGGTTCAGAGACTCGACCCGAAGCGATGGCTGAGTTCCCTCATCGCTTCCCACAAGACCCTTCTCACAGTTCTCTGGATCGCCGCCTTCGCTTCCGTGTTTGTATGGCAGCGATCGACCTTCGTCGGCGTTAGCGGCGGAGGAACGCTCATGGCTTTAGGTCGGGTCGGGTCGACCCGGCCACTACCCCGTCTGAGACCGACGGTGTTCAATTTGACGGATTTCGGCGGAGTTGGTGACGGAGTCACGCTCAATACGGAGGCGTTCGAACGGGCCGTGACGGCGATCTCGAAGCTCGGGAAGAACAGCGGCGGCGGACAGCTGAATGTGCCGCCGGGTCGGTGGCTCACTGCGCCGTTTAATCTCACCAGTCACATGACTCTCTTTCTCGCCGAGGATGCTGAGATTCTTGGTGTTCAGGTCAGTGGATGAGCTCAAATTTTCTTGTTTTGATCTCTTTTACAAAGACCCAGAACTTGATTTGGTGTTTCTTAGGGCAGAGACAAGTGTTTCAGAGACCAAACTAGAATTAGTTGATCGTGTTTGTTCAGTGTTCTTGAACTCGGGTTTAATGCCAGGATTAGGATACTGAGATTCTTGCTGTTCAAATGAAAGATTCTCTTGTTTTGATTTGATTTGTCTCAGGTTTTTGATTTGGTATTATAGTATTGAGGGCAGAAGCAAATGCTCTCTACCACCAATCTAGAGTTCATTGTCTGTGAGTGTGTTTACTTTGTCTTCTCGAGCTTAGGTTCAGTTGTTTCTTTTGATTATGGCGAAGTAGATGAACAAGATGCAAGACATTATGTTTGTTATGTAATAGATCTTAAGTGACCAAAACTTAGAGGTTCTAGTCTATGTTTACAAATGATCAGTATTCGTCGTCACCGAAAAGGAAATAGTCGGAAGTCGGAGTATGAGAACGAGAAGATTATACAGTTCTGGGAGTGAAATCAGATTAGCTATATTGGATCTTTGATTGTCGGGAAGAGCGTTGGTTAAATCCCTACGTGTCATGTCGATTTCTGTGTGAGTTCGAGTCTAACTATGCGTTCCTTTTCTATCAGGACGAGAAGCAATGGCCTCTAATGCCGCCATTGCCGTCGTACGGATACGGTAGAGAGCATCCGGGACCTCGTTACGGGAGTTTGATCCATGGACAAAACCTCAAAGATGTTGTTATTACCGGTTAGTCTTTCTTCTTACATGTTCATTTTCGCTCACCGTACAGTTCAGAGAGTTTAGCCCGTAATCCTTCTTTATGTACTATGACAGGCCATAACGGAACGATAAACGGACAAGGGGAAACGTGGTGGAAGAAGCATCGGCAAAGACTTCTCAACAACACGAGGGGACCTCTGGTTCAGATAATGTGGTCGAGCGATATAGTTATCATGGATATAACCCTTCGTGATTCCCCCTTTTGGACCGTTCATCCTTACGATTGCCGGAATGTAACGGTGAGAAACGTCACCATCTTAGCTCCTGTTACCGGAGCTCCCAACACCGACGGGATCGACCCTGATTCGTGCGAGGATATGGTCATTGAGGACTGTTACATCAGCACTGGGGATGATGCAATCGCGATCAAGAGCGGATGGGATCAATACGGAATCGCTTATGGTAAACCTTCCACGAATATTCTCGTCCGAAACCTCGTGGTCCGATCCGTTATAAGTGCGGGTATATCCATTGGAAGCGAGATGTCAGGCGGGGTATCGAACGTGACGATCGAGAATCTCTGGGTCTGGAACTCGCGCCGAGGGGTCAGGATCAAAACCGCTCCCGGGAGAGGCGGTTTTATCCGAAACATAACATACCGAAACCTGACGCTCGACAATGTAAGAGTCGGGATAGTCATCAAGACGGATTACAACGAGCATGCGGACGAGGGGTTCAACCCGAAGGCATTCCCGAAGCTCTCGGGGTTCAGATTCGAGGGACTGCACGGGCAAGGAGTGAGGGTTCCGGTTCGGATCCACGGGAGCGAAGAGATACCGGTGCGGGAGGTGAGTTTTCGGGACATGTCCGTGGGGATAACGTACAAGAAGAAGCATATATTTCAGTGTTCGAACGTGCAAGGACGTGTGTTCGGGAGTGTGTTCCCTCGGCCTTGCGAGAATCTTGATCTTTACGACGAAGACGGCCGTCTTTTGAAACCCTCTGTTTCGTCCAATGTTACCGACATTGACTACGACATTTGATTGCTGTCCTTTTTTTTTTGTACATATAGTGAATTTCGATTTAATTCCTGTTTCCAGTCCAGCATAATTTTCCTAAACGTTTTTCTTATAAACGGGTATCATCAACCAAGCCAACAAAGTCCCAGAAGCATCAGCGCGATGATTTCAGTCCCACATCGTAGTAGTAATAATAATAATAATAATTTTCCGATGTAATATTTTTTTTTTAACAAAATCTGGAATTATGATAATGTCAAAACAACCAATTCAGGAGATAAGACTAATCATAAAAATATTTTACAAATACCCTATTTTTTCTTATTCAAAATAATGTACTCTGGTTGGTTTGGCACTCAAATTCAACAATGCAAATAGAAGAAGGGAAACTACCAAACTATGTGATGGAACAACGATGCAGATTGTCAACAAAGTAAAAAGGGCAATAACAAAGTCCATCAATCATTGTTAGTTTTATGGTAACCATATAGTATTTTTTTTTTCTTTTCTGTGTAGTATTTGGATGATCCGTATGAACCGACCATCGGTTTGAATAACAGAGAGAGAGAGAGAGAGAGAGTTAAGAGTTAGAGAAGAAGATGAAATCAGATTTGCATCCTTTTATTGTGCCAATGAACTCTTGGAGTAACTGAAATTTTCAGCTTCTTTGTTTGAGTCAGCTTCTCAATAGCTCTTTGTTCTCTTCACCTATATCTCCCTCTGTTTCACCAAAGAAAATGCCAAACACGAGAGAGTATGTGACCGAATTCGTTGATATGAACACAATTCCACGGTTTACTGATGAGTTATTACCTCGGGACAATCCGTAATTGGTACGAGACGAAGAAGGTTCAAACCCGAACCGAGTCTCTGATGTTATGGCAATATCTGTGATGTGATCAAAGGTTAGTATGTTTTGCTGGTTTGATTACGAAATCTGCTGGAAAATAAAACATCAAAATCATATCGGAGGCTGTACCAGAGAGCGGGTCAAAACGTGGAAGGGAAGGTAATTGTTGTCCATATCCTTCGAGATAACTCATTCCTCCCGTCCGACACAATTTCATTGGATTTAGAATTCCTGGATACAAACTCACTCCATTGCTCATTACCAACATCTGCAGAATTGATCCACAAACAGTCGGTCCAGCTAAGAAGTTACCGCAAAAAATGAACGAAGCCGAGCAAAATTAGCTTAAAAGTATTGAAGCTTTTCGAAGATCAAACCTTTTCTTGTAAGTTCACAAGAAATCTCTCAGTACGCATATCTAATCCGACATGACGCAACATGGTAATATTGATTGAACGGTGAGGAAGGAATCAAACAGCAGATAAGGGTTCAGTTTATGAAATCAAAAGGTTTCATTTCGATCACATTCAGGAACAATGCAAAGCAAACTAAAGCGGAACGGGAACAGGTTTTTCCTTTTCAAAGATGTTGGTTTCATCTCTAATATCAACATCAGTTAGGCGACGATGGCAAGATGAAGTGGACAACCAACAAAATGCATAGGTAAATTTTATAGTGTTACAGATAACTACAAAAAAAAGATATCAAGGACCTCAATTTGATGTCAAAAAATTGAGAAAGAGCAAATACAAAGAATAAACACAAGAAAACGTATACAAAAACAATTAAGAAACGTATCCAAGCAACATTACCTAAAAATGAAAAGAATTTGGCAATAAAGTTTTGCCTCAATCCGCTGTTCTAGATGAATTATTTGCCTTAAAGGGTATCGGAAATGGATTTTGGTGGACATATGAGGAGATGCTGACTAGGACCTATGTCAAACTGTATATCAATGAGTATGGGTGGATCCAAACAGGGATGACGCTACGTTGGCTGATCCAAGCAAGGACTAGAACTAAGGTGTACATCTGCTAGTGGTTAACCCTAGAGAGAAGTGAGAAAGATGTTTCATTGGTTTAACTTCAATGGTTTGCCCCAAGGAAAAACTGTTATTATCATCAAAACTTCTTTCATATCAAAGTTTGTAACAGTTAACATAGAGCAACGATCTCAACTTCCACACCAGTATTATTTTGTTAGGAATAGCAGGAAAGAACCCGTGAAGTTACACACCAGTATTAAAAAAAACTACATTCAATGTTGGAAAATCTCTCCAACTGGGAGGTTCAGGAACCAAAAGAGAATACAAGGCAATTGTCTACCACTCAGAGCTTCATAAAAGTTAAAACCAACCCCCCTCAGATAAAATTATGGCCAATGCTTGATGGCACACTGTATACAGAATTTGATCCAATAACAAGAAAATAAGTTCTTAAACAGCAATTAGAAAACAGATTCAAACATGAAAACAAACAGGTTCGATCATACTTGTATCTGAACATACTATGAAAATCGATCCGACTTAACCAACCAATGAATCCAAACAAGAAAACTCACGGAATTCTCCACACTCCGCATCAATGACATTCCCACATTAGAATATGATAACCCTTTGCCTACAAATAAAAGCAGACAAGAAAGTGAAAAGCAAACATCAAGGTTACCTGAACTCGAAGCTGAAGCTGCTTCAGATACTCGATAGCCTCATCCAGCATCGAAGCCTTATCCGTCTACCATAGTAAAATGTTTATATGGAAAATCTCTCATTTGATATGGATCTAATAAAAACAACACCACAAACTAGATACCTTGTTGGAGTTTGGGATTAGCTTCTGCAAAGCTTTCAGTCTCTCATTGATCCTACTCCTCCTCCTCTGAGATTCATGTCTAACAATATATTAAACACAAAAACCGTCAAATATAGAAGCAAAAACAAGATTTTCTAGAGAAGTGCACCTTCTCCGACAGATTATGCACCTCGGCAGCTCTACACCTCTTCGATGAACTACTCGGCCGCATGATATTTGATGGCATTTCAGAAGCCCCAGATCGCTTCTGTGGGTGAAGAATTGCATTTCGTTAGATAACCTAGTTGAAGATCACTCTCAATAGCTACGATTTCTAAGAAACTAGAAGATATTTAGGAAAAGCACCAAAACTCCAAATCATATGAATCAACTAGTTATCCTTTCACCCGAGACAAATTTCTCCTATTTATTCAGGAAACATACAGAATCGGCAAGGATTTTCGCCTTACCTCGCTCTCCCAACTTATATCACCAGTGGAAGAGGTCGCATTCTCGGTCATATCCTTCAATCCGCTTCCAAAATAAGCCGCATGATCGGAGACATCAAAACCAGAAGAAGATGATAGATCGGCACCAGAACCCGACTTCCCGACGGCGTTTCGGCTCACCAAATCTGTCCGGACAGCGGATCCGGAGGTTCTACCGATATCTTCCACCGGATCTAAAACTGCATCATACGGAGGAGGAGGAGGAGATGCTGTAGAGTGATCGAACAGTGGCCTAAATCGGACGCGGGAAGACGAAGAAGCAGAAGACGGTCCGTGGAGGAAATGGTTGAAGAATGCGGAGATCTCCTCCGGCTGCGATGGAGAAGATGACTCAGTGTCTGGTCCTCCGTACAGATCCGGATCCGCCATGGAAGCTGCCCAATTTGTGCTCTCTGTGTTGCTCGCTCTCTTCTAAATACTTGACAATCGATTTCCTCGCTCATAACGTACTTAATTAAAATTTGATTAATCTCCCGCCTTAATTAGGCCCGAATCTTTTCTCGTTCTCATCAGATCGGCCTATGATTTTTGAGTCTTTGCAAATACACCCCTATTATTTTTCGGGTAAATAAATACACCCCTATTATTATAAAACAGTACCAGATTTTAAAATAAATTTTGGGGTTGGATAATTTTGTGCTTCATTTTTAATACGAAATTATTTCAACTTTTTAGTATGGAATTAATATGGAAATAATGAAAACAGAATATATGTCCTCTGAATTTTGTATAATAATGGATCTCTTAGGTGGGAAAAATGGAGGGCAATAAAAATAAATTATAAAACTAATATCTGTGTCCTCTGATATTATACCATATTATAATATATATATATATATATATATATATATATATATATATGAACCATTAATGGATTTGGTGTATCCAATAAAGACGAGAGAGTAAATGTGCCTTTAAAACCATATTCTCGGGAACTTTTTATGCAATCGTTGAAATTGTTATAACATTAAAAAAAATGATATTTTTCTCACTTATCTCGAATGTTTTTTTTTCTTAAAAAATAACGTTTTTTTAAATCTCGATAACCCCAATTGTCCAAATTAAACAAATTACCACTCTGCAGCCATCATTGTAATGATCATTTAATTTTTTATATTAAAACAGACTTAATCGAATTGAATAGAGATTTTAAATAAAATTTCTTTGTTTTAAAATAATATTTTTACTATTTTAACTAAGAATTTTATTTTATCTGATTATACAAATATACGAAAACATTTTAGCCAAATTTAATGTTCTTGATTTTGTTCAATCATTCAGATATAGAAAAACGATTTTAATTTGCAAACCATATGCAACACATGCCATACGTAGTATATTGCGATAACTAGATTTTCAGTTTCTTATTTTATGTTTGTATTCCATTTATTTATAAAATTATATTATTACAAAAAATGCACTATATAAAACAAGATATTTTAAAAAAATTTCCAAATTCTCTCTCTCTCTCTCTCTATATATATATTAAAACACGAATTTGTCATGGAATTATAACATTTACAATGATTATTGTTAATATAATTTCAAAATTATATTTACAATGGTTTGTATTTCATTTATTTTGAAATTATATTTTTTTCTCTCGTTTTACTTTATTTTTAAAACTGGATAAAATTTATGTAAGATGTTATGGATAAATTATCGTTCTGACACATAGAGTTACTGTTAGCAAAAAGATAAAACTAACATTTTCATCATGTAAAAACATTTAAATGGTAAAAATATAATCATAAATATCTTATTTATATCGAAAACATACCCATTTTTTGATTTATTTCCTTAGTACTATTTAATTGGTTAGAGGGCATCGTATTATATGATACTTCGATATCGACATTTTCGGATTTTGGTTTGATATAATTTCAATTGACGTCAATTTCGCGTGATTTTGGGTTTGACAAAATTTCCAAAACACCGAAATGGGAGGAAAAGGAAATGGGGCACTCTAGTTTATCTATTTTTTTTAATTAAATAATATATATATCAGCTTTAGATAAATGTATATGTAATAATAATATCTATGCTGGATTTTTTACCATGTCGGACACTCCTGGATTTTAAGACAAAAACAGATTAGATTCTGTTTTGTTCCTTGCCTAATTTGTAATAGATTTTTTTTATAGAAAAAAAAACATCTACAGATGTTAATTTTTTAAAAATTTTAATTACCTATAAAGTTTTATATATTTTCATCTTTTATAAATATACAAATAATTATTTTATTTAATAATTCATCTATTTTTTTTTAATTTTAAAGTATTTTACGATGATAAATTAATAATATAAAATTTTAAAAATATTTATTTTTTTATATGTAGATCGTTCAAGCGTCCATATATACCAGCCATATATTGTTGTAATATTCTCAGTCACATTTCAAATAAATAAAGAAATAAGTCCGATATGCTTATTTATTTGAATTTGTGAAATTAGTGTCAGATATTTCATTCAATTCAATTACCTAATACGAATTATCAATTTGTCTTGTTGTTTAATATTTTCCTTGAAAAAGAAAAGTTTACATATTCCTTTACTATAACATTAATATGATTGTAAATTAAGAATCTAAAATTACTTTCTAATTAAATAAATCTACCACTTTCTTATTTAAAAATATTATAGCACCCTTAGTCAAATATACTTCGATTTTTAACAGAGCTATATTTAAATATCAAATTCAAACTCTTGCTAAAATGAATTCTAACATCTCCAACTTATGTATTAACAAGTAGATACATATATACACATATATACATACATATATATATATATATATATATAAAAGGTAAAGAAAGGAAACAAGGAAGGACGAAAGGAGAGGCAAAGAGCGCGTGCTTGCTTGGAAGCTAAAAGAATCTTATGAACCAGAGAGAGAGAGAGAGAGAGAGAGAGAGAGAGAGAGATATGTCATTTTGGTAAGAGGACCAAACGGGGACAGATACAACTTTCTGATTAATTTTGCCAACTTGCTTTGTTCAACTTCATTGTATATACACGCACTGATACACTCACATTCCATTACATATATACGTTATATATCTAATATATATACACGTATTACACCTATATATATATATATATTGTTGTTATTCATTCCCTTTTTTGCTAAGCCTAATTCTATTCTCCTTGGAAACTGTTGTTTCAAGGTCTCGCCACCTCTCCGTAACCATTTGTTTTTTTATAATAAATAAAAATAAAAATAATAATATTTTTTTTTATGTATTTTTGTTTCTGGTTATATGGTAAATTTCCCATTGCCATCGTTTCCTAATAATCCTTGTTTTTGTTCCCTTTGGGTTCGTGCTTCTTCGCTTACCTTTCTTCGTTCTTTCGTCTCTCATCCTCTCTTCGGCAAGAGGGTACGCTTCTTCTTCTTCTTTCTTTTTTGTTTGTTCGTCTCATTTCTCCGTGAATCGGTCCTTTTTCTTCTGTGTTTTGTGGCTTTGAAAGAGTTGGAGGAAGAATCGGGGGAAATTAGACGAGTGTGTGGTTTTTTCCTGAAACTTTCTTCGATTTCGTTCATCACTGGTTTCTCAGATCGACATCCTTTTTCTGTTGCGATTCTGTATCCGCTAGTTTGCGTTTTTTCTTCCTCTTCGGTTTCTGTGCTCGTTTTCAGCTCGATCGGAACTCATCGAATCGGGTTGGTGGGTTCCTTTTCCTTTTCGAAACTTTGCGCTAATTTATTTGAAATTCTGGGTATTTTCCATCGTGTATTCAGCAGAATCCGTCGGGGTTCGACTGATTGCCCAGTTGATTCCTGGAAAAAATAGTTTCTTTTACATGGGTTTGATGCTGGGTTGTGACATTTGAGCAGATCTCCGCTTGTAATAACCTGTTTGTTCTTCTGGGAAATTTTCCTTTTCATTTTGTGTAATTTTTTCTGTCAGTATTTACTGGTTTCATTCCGATGTTGTGGATTGTTGTTTCTCTGACGAAACTTTGCCTTCAAGTTGTTGCTTTCGTTTACTTTGCTTTGCCTTGCTGTTGGTGTGTTGTGTTGTGATACTTAGCTTTTGTGGTCGGAGCTTTTTTATGCTTAAGAGTTGGTACCAATGGATGCTTTGTTGATATGCCAGGGAGGATGTATTCTTGATCTTGCTGTGCTTGCTTGACCTGAGTTTGAGCCTGAGATTTTGATTTCCCCCCCTCCTTTCTGATGGAATTGGGCCATAATTGAGCCAATCAATCTCCGCATTCTGATCACGATTGTTCATATGTGTTGCTAGTGGTAAGATTGTTGAATGGCTTTAGTTGTCTTAGCTTGTCTCATTCAAGGCAATGTCTTCAGGTTTTTCCTCTGTTGATACATGAATATGAAGTTCTCATTCAGGTTCTGCCAATGCATCTTTGTAAAGGATTCATGAACTGAGGATTTGTTTCCGGGTAAATGATGGAACTGTGAAAGCCATTTATGCGTCTATCTGTCACCAACTAAGTTAAAAAGCTCATTTCTTGTAGGTTCTCTGTTAACATGACCGAGTTTACCGTTTAGGGAGTAGGCATTGCATTTTACATGGAAGTCTCCTTCCTTGCATATCTGTAAATGACATGCTTTTTTAATTATGGGTGGGGTAGCAAATTACTGGTTGGTTTTTATCTTTCTTGCTTTGAGTGTGCTTTTCCTCCTCTGATGTTGTTCTCAGCAAAGTCACTTTCTGACATGAGTGTGTATCTTCAACTTCAGTCTGCTGCCACTAAGTATTACAATTCTTTTCATCGAGTGGCACGTTGCGTTCCTTTCTCAAGTATTTGCTTCCAGTTAATAGCCTTTTCTCCGTATTTTATGCTGAAAGATATATTCCGTTTGTTCTTTTGCAGGTTCACCATCCGGCTCTTTGCTATTAGTAGCAAAGGTCTCTTGAGATCTTCTTTCCTAAGTGATAACTGGGGGTAAAGCACTAGCCCAGATGCAGGAAGAGAGAGCCAGTCTTGGCTCTTTATCAGAGGCCTTGAACTTTGAGCATGGTTCTACTTCGAGCAATGCTGTGATAGATCAGCAGATTCATTGGGAGAATATTCACAGTCTTGGTGACAATGACTTGCATGGTTATATGATTTCCTCTACCGATACAAATACTACATTTCCAAACTCAGTTTATCATGGGCAACAGGATTTACACAGGTTTAGCCTTGGTGAGGCTAGTAGCTCTATTGTCATGGAGAATGAAGGTGCCAGTCACAATGAGCAGAAACCAGAACTTGGGCGCTTTGAAGAACGAAATAATGAGATTATTGATTTGAATCCGTTGTCTGTGCAATCTTCTAGTTCCAACATAGCTATGCAGAATGTCAACCTGAATGCAGAATTCATTGAACATCCTGGGGATATGACTCAGATAATGGGCCATCCTGCTTTTTTTGATACTAATGGACCAGGGACCAGGCTTTTGTCACCGGGCAGGGGTTTTGAAGAGACTAGTAGCAGAGCAGGCACTTCCCTTGAGGGTCGTCGCTCATCCTGCAAAAGAAAAGCCCTTGAGGGTAGCATTGGTCAATCCTCTTCAAGTGGAGGGTTTCGTGATTTCCAGCGTGGAGAAAGCAGTTCGTGGACTACATCTCCGGCGATTTATAGCCCAGGAAGTGGTTTGAACATATCTGGTTCTTTTGACCAAAGTCCAAGGGGATTGGTATCTGGTGTCATTCCAAATTTTCCTGTTCCTGCCATTGCAGAGAGCTCCAGTAGGAATTTGTGTATTGGGATCAATCCCTCAGATCAACAAGAAACTGTAAACCCATCTGTCTTTTCTGCAAGAAGTGTTGTCAGACGACCTGTTGCTCCATCCTTGGCGAATTCATCGAGACTTCTGCCAGCGGATCAACATCGTTTAGGCCTGAGACATGGACATGCTTTAGGCAATGTGGTTTCTCAGAATCCAAATGCACCTACCCTTCGATTCCCACCTATTTCAAGAAATACTCTACCACCATTCCGATGGAGTGGTGGCCCAGTATCAGGTGGATCATCTAGTTCTGTAGCACCTGTTGACAGAAATGTCATTCAACGAGATGAATCCAGGTCGAGGAGCATATCACGGAATATTCTAGAAAACCCCTTGTTTGTTCCAGCACCTGATCTGAGAAATCTTGCCCGTAGTCAGATGAATAGAAATGTAACCAGTGGGAACCCAAACATTGCAGGAAATGTCCTGTCATCTTCGTCCAGAACAGGCTCAAGTACAGGTGTTCAACCGTCTCCGTCTATTCCAGCATGGACTCCTTATCGGAGTAATTCTCAACACTATCAAAGAAGATTATCCCAACTTGTCCGAAGGTCATTGCTCTCTTCCCTTGCAGCGGATGGTACGAACCGGAGAGCTGGTGACCATCCAACCCTCCGTTCTATGATCCCTCCTGCTTCTCCGGATGAGCTTTTGCTTCAGCCAGGAGGTGATGATAATGGCAATGCACAAAATCATGCATACTCGAGAGCACCTCCATTGTTCGAAAGGCAAGGTGATGGAGTCATCGGGATTCCCCATTCTTTGCGTGCGTTGACATCTGCAAGTCGAGGAAGAAGCAGACATGTGACTCCCGAGGTCATTTAATTAGCTTTTGTTCATACATTTGTCAGTGAAGTTGCCATAGGTTTCTGAGAAACTTCTGGAAAATGCAACTGAGAATGTGCCTCTTCTTTCTTTTGACCAGTTTCGCAATGTCTTGGATATCATGCGCAGGGGTGAGAACTTGCGGCTCGAGGTTAGGATTTCCATTTACTTCTAACTTGAAAAAAATAGTTCAGCAGAACCCAAAACTAATGAATTCAGACATTGACAAATCCTGCTTGTCTTGTTTCTGTGTTTTGGATATATAAGTACTGACATCTTGCTGCATTTTCTGTCACTAAATAAAATTTTCAGGATGTTATGTTTCTTGATCAGTCGGTGCTTTTAGGCGTGGCTGATATTCATGACCGATATAGAGAGATGCGGCTTGATGTTGACAACATGTCTTATGAGGTAATGTGTACCGAACCATAAAGCTTTTTCCTGGTCATGTTTAAATTGCAATCCTCAATTGCTGAATATTGATTATCGGTTCATGGTTTTTAGGAGTTGTTGGCTCTAGAAGAACGGATCGGAGATGTTTGTACAGGTCTGACCGAGGAAATTATATCGAACCATCTGAAGCAGCGGAAATACAAAAGCACTAATAAATCATCCCAGGAAACAGAACCATGTTGTATTTGCCAGGTATTGATGATTCTTTAGACTCATGTTGTGCTGAATATACCCTTTTTAAGATTTGTGTCACAATCTTTGTCAAACATCATGTGTTGCAATAGGACAGGAATTGGACTAATCAAAGATTTGTCACAACACAATCATAGTTGTTCAAGTTTTGTGTGTATTCTGAACTTTTTACAATGCCAAGGCATTACAGTTTGTCATATTATGGAATCTGGATACAAATACAAATGTAATTTTTGACTGAAATATGTTCTGAAATGGGCAGGAAGAATACAACGAAGGAGACGACATGGGAACGCTGGAATGTGGGCATGATTTTCATAGCCAATGCGTCAAAGAATGGCTGAAAAGGAAAAATCTTTGCCCAATCTGCAAAACTACAGGCTTGAACACATTGGACAACAAACTGACCTGATGATCCAAAACGCTCAATGTAGAGCTTATCATTCATTTAAATCCTAAAGAATCCGAAAAGGGAACGACAAAGAAGAAACCCTTCTTTCTCCGTCCATTCATTCTCCTATCCATTGCAGAAGCCTCACCAGAACAGCAAAGGCAAGTTTGTTTGGTTTCTTCTTTTCTTCTTTCGTTCATTCGGGTTTGAAGGTGGTTGGAGTATCATGGCCGGGATCGTGGTAGGGTTTTCCGAAAGATTGGATTTTGATGGAAAAGATCAAAAGGGATCCAGAGGAGGAGAAGGAGAAGAGAAAAACCAGGTTCTTCTTGGATTTGTTTGAATGATTTTAATTTACCAATCAGTTTTATCATGAATACCCAGACCCATAAAAGAACCAAGAAGAGTTTGTATCCTATTGGGAATTATAGATTTATGGATATCATTTCATTACATTTGAGTTGATGGATCACTCTGCTTTCTTGTCTTCTGTTTTTCTGCTTTGGTCCTTTTTTTGTAGGTATGAAGTTAGATATTTAGTTGTTAGATTAAAGTAGCATTTGGATTGCAGATATGAAAATATCACAGCCAAGCTCGATGACTTTGTTCACTCTTCCTTACAATAATTTTTTTTTTTAATAATTCATTCATAGAACCCAAAACTAAATTTAAGTACCATGAGATATGTCACTGTCCGATGCTTCCACCAAGCATGCGATTTCTCTTTCACTACAACGGTTTGGGCGTCTGTTCCAAAGACCAAACATTTCTACCGTAAGTCCAAGCGTGAGTATAGTAACGTGAACATTTTGATTATGAGTTCAAATGAACAACCAAAGCTGAAAAAGAAAAACGAACGTTACACTACAGATGAAGCATATGGAAAATGTGTAAAACTCGAGTCTCGACTACTGCTACCACCGGGATAAACGGCTCGGTTGAGCCTTGGGCACGCGCTCTCTCAGCTGTCCAAGGATCAAATCACCTCTAACGCCAGGAGAATCAATGAGTCTGATTACCCGGGGAAAAAAGGATTGAAAGGGGTGGATTGATCCCCGGGGGATTACAGGATTCGAGAGCTTGATCGTGGTAGGAGCGATTTTTCTTTTTTCTTTTATTCTTTTTTACGAAAGATCGCATCCACACCTCATCGCCGTCTCCTGCTGCTTGTATTGCACACCGCAGGGGGTCATGTACTTAACCTAGTAACAAGAAAAGGCGAACAAAACCCTGTCACAATAATGTTTTCTTCTCAATCGTATATAACCATGCTTCCTCTATGACTGAAAAGGTTAGAGAAATTGTCTTTAGCTAACAGTTAGATAAAGAGGAGAACACAAAGGCCAGATATTAGTGTAATGTTGAAAAGTATGTGAAAGTTACCGTAGAGGCTTGAAGAAAGAAGCATTATAGTGCAGAGCAGGTAAAGCAAGCAGTAATGGAAACAATCTTCCGAGTTCTTCTTCTGAAAGACACGACCTTGCGGGATGTTGTACTTGGACATTGTTGACCATGATTTGTTAATATCGAGTTCCGCATACCCTGGGCTCTCTTTTGAGCCGATCTCAGCTTTTTCATGATCTTTTCCGTCGACGATGTTCTTTTTTTTTCCAACTTCATCTGGAAAACATTCCAACAGCCTCTGTCAGAACTTTCACACAAGCATATGTTTAGTTGTTCCACCAGCCAAATTCATTGTTTACTTCCACAAGCTCTCGAGCAACCAAACGCAATCAAGGAGCAAAGATACAAATTTGTTTTGATGTCTCAAGTTTCAGTCATTGTGCTTTAACAAAAAAAGTTTCAGTCATTGTGTCATATGGGTATGTAACAGAAAGAGAAGAGAGGACCTCCAGTTTTCTTATTGCTGCCTCAGCTTTGGCTTTTTGTAAATTTTCCCATGCACTGATTCTAGCTTCCTCTCTTTTGGCCCTGCAAAAACATGATGTTCAATCAAAATGCCCTTTCAGATTGGTGAATTTATTTCTTGTTGTGTATGAAAAGATGCGATATGATTCGGAATTCAAGGATTAGAGCACCGAAAACTAGGCTTCCTGTGGTTGATTTCGTTTTTCAGAATCAAGATAATAATATATACATGAATAAAAATTTACGTTATGTGCTAGGATATACTATAAGCACAACCATTCATCTGTAGAAAGAAAGTGGAACGACTCTCGAATATCTCAGACTTACCATGTCAAACCGTGAGTATCAATGGCATTTTCACTCAAGTTTTCCCGCATTCCTGTGCTCTTTCCATTGTGCAGAGCTCTGCGCTTCCTTGACCAACGAGTCACAATGACTTTTCCATCAACCTGCACATCTTTTTCTGACCTCGTGGAATGACTGTTCAGTATTTCCATAATAGGTAGTTCCGGTGGAGAGGTAGGAGAGAACGAAGATCTTCTCTCAGGGGATAAGTGGACGCTTCCCTCCGGGCTCATCTGGGTTGCCATATCCCTTCTTGATGCAGCATGAGGATTGGTGGCATCATCCTTAATATTGTCAAGGATGTCATCTGTACATATGGGTAACGAAATGGCGAGAAACAGATCAGCAAAAGTTTAAAGTCAATAACAATTAACATTACTAAGAAATTATTAGGTCATAATGGATAGTGCATTGCTGCATGAGGATTTTGTCCACCAATTAATAAGATTATATGCCCATGGCCATAGCACAAACGATTATTTTCCACTAATTATACATGTATGTATATATTTCTGACTACCAATGACAAAGTTCTAAACAAAAGTTAGTACATGAAAACATAATGCAGCAAGATTGATGAGCATATACCTTGGAATGGAAACAGAGTGGGTGCGAGAGTCTCAGAGCAGCCATTAATACTAATTGATCTAGCTATACATGGATCTATTGTTGAAGGAAAGGCTACACCAGAGCCACCAGATTGTCCATCTGCAGCGACCGCCCGAGCCGAAAATGGAGAGCCCACCATGAAACTGCCCCCCATTGGAAGAGCAGGAGAATACAATGAATAATAAGCAAGTCCTGGAGGCCCTAACGGGCCACTCTTTGATTTAGGTCGCCTTTCATGTGACACCGCAAATGAATTTCTAACGACTCCATCCCGAGCAACAGGACTAAATATCCATCTCTCCGCATCTTCCCATTTCGAAGGTAGCGTTTTGCCACTGTATAAAGGCATGAATGCAGTATTGGCTTGGCTTCTTTCCCCATTTGAGCGTGAGGGTACTCGTTCTGAGCTCCAACCCTTTGGCATTGCAATGCTACCGTGCAGATATGTCGGAGTTCCTGGGCTAGGAAATGCACTGGATTTCTTTGTCAAAACCGAGTTTCTCTTTACAGTTACCAGTCGTGGGGAGGAAGAGGTGACATTATTGAGATCCAGAGAAGGAGATTTTTGCCTATCAAGCCTCTTCACCAGAGCTCCGGGTCTGGATCTCCTAGCCTGACATTCTGTAAAGATCTTGAGATTCCGGTCAAAATTCAAAATACTATTCCAAGTTAACGCAGCTAAAACTTTAAAAAGTTGTCTCACCTTTAAGGGCTAAAGAGAAGGAGCTCCTTGCTGAATCCAAGTGCTGGCTCTCCTCTTCTATGACCTCGTTATCTTCTTTCTGCACTGCTCGCAGATGAAGAAAAAAAAAACACACAAAGGAGTTTGTGAGCTTAAATTTGAAATTCCAAGACATGATTGACCCTTTTTGGTCATGTTCTTGTTGTCTTGTGCCCATTATTTCAACTTTTATCACTAGCTGTACCTTTCACTTTGTCTGCCTTTCTAGAGTTCCGACTGTGCCTTCTCCCTGTTGAAAGCTTGTTTGGATCTAAATCTGTACAGCTCGAAATGCCCCTGTGATCTCGATCCTGTCCCCACAAATGTTGCGGACAGAAAAAGATGAGAATTACTTGAATAATGAAACTCAAACTGCGAAATGATATTCTTATTTCTAGCAGAACTAGATGAAGTATCATCAAAAGCTTCCCAAAACGTAATCATGTCAGATATATAACCATCTTGACTACGGGCAAGTTCATCTAAAGATTTCCAAGTTGAATCTGCTATATATTTCTCGTGCATGAAACTTCGTTTCGCGACAAGGCCAGTATCTAGAACTGAAAAGCCCAAGCCGAACGGTGAAACCTACACGTAACGCTTAGCAATTGAATCGAAAAATTAAGTGGAAAAGGTTTAATTGTCCCAGGTCGTCATCCACAATTCTCCTCCAGATTTCCAGAAAACCTACACGTAACACGTTCTCGAACATGCTTGGAATGGAGAGCAAACAGAAAACGCAAATCTGCTTCTAATTCATCCAGAATGACGTGCGATGGAATCACGCAGCACACTTGCATGATTCTCAGATGTTCGACTCAGTCAAATATAAGCGCACATTTCATGATACATTGTGCATCGGAACTCTACATGAGCTACGATTTTTCTTAGGTAACACAGCAATGGCGTACCATGGAGAAATCGGAGACGAGAGAGTCGCGGTCATGAGAATCGGAGGCAAAAGAGCAGCGATCAACGGAGGCGGAGGCGGAGGAGAAGAGGCTGAGATTGGATTCCGGCGTGAGGATCAAGGAGTCAGGGCTCGCGTCACGAATACCTCCGCCAGAGGCCTCCGCAGATCTCACCGCTCGGTGGACCTGGTACGCCGGCTCCGACGGCATTGTATCGTGTTCCTTGTTCAGCTACTTCTACTGACCGTCCTTCGCATTCCAGCTGCAGAGCGATCGAGGAAGCGCGAGAGAGAGAGAGAGAGAATCTTGGTGGTAATTTGGTTTTGCGAATCTCTCCTGAAACAAAGAATTAATTGTCTTTGACTCAGTGAGAGAGAGACTGTTGAACAGAGAGAGAGAGAGAGAGAGAGAGGGAGAGAGGGAGAGAGAGAGAGAGAGAGTTTTGAGAGTTTTGACCAGGAGAGTGTGAACGAACAGCGATGAAAGAGACGACATTTTACGGAATCTTTTGTAACATTTCTTTAATATATTTTTCTCTTTCGTCGTCTTGTATTTTATTTATTTTTCTTCTTTCCCTCCTTGTACGGTCTTTTCTCTTTTTGTTTTCTGAAAACCCTTTATATATAGCATTCAATAATTTTGAATATTTTTTTGTAAATATATAGAACACAATAATGTAATAAACTAATACATAAATTTTCACCATGAAATAGTTATCTTAAATATATGCACACACAAATGATCAGAAATTATCTTTTTGACACGCTTGATAACCAAGTCTTTGGCATTAACTGCAGTCTGCAGATGAAGTTCTGCTTGTATTCACACTCATTCACCCATGTTCTTGCATGGAACTCTGTGTCTTGCGGTCAGCATCTTGTTGTCTGAAGTACGCAGTTATCGCCTTCAGCCTGCCATTTAAATAGTTCTTCTCCACCTGATAACATTGAGAACCATTGATAGGGGGAAGCCACGAATCCATCCGAAAACTTGACTAGAAAATTCAAGAACCATATCTCAAAGGGTCGCTAATGGAAGAAGCCATTGTTAATGCTATCTTCTTCAACAATGGAGCAAGATTTTTTTTTTCTCTGAATCATGGTCCTTCGAAGTTATATTAACTGCGATTTCAGTGAGCACCTGAATCTAGCCGATGTTTACATTGCTTGGCAACAGGAAAAAACAGGTCAGAAAGGAAAAAAGGATAAGGTTTCAGACACTTGCCTCGAGTGACCATGAAGGATAAGATGATAGGGCTAGCTCCGCCAGTTGATTTAGATCGACATTTCTCGGGAGAAACATGACAACAGTCGATGCGATGTTCTTCGCTGAATTGAATAGAAACAATCTGCACCAAACAAGAACATTATATTTAGTGTTATACCGAATGGAGAGAAGCAGAAAACTTAGTCATATATATAACTATCGACAGAAGAGACATACCCATCACGAGGTTTCAACATTGTCTTGATATCGTAAGTACGTGCTTTGGCATAATCAGGGCCACCCCAAGGAGGAGATAAGAAGACAGTGTCTGCCTGCATATTAGAAGAAGGATTGTGACAGGACATAAAGACCGGAAATAACCACCATGATTGAGTAAGGTCAAGATTCCAGGGAAAATTACTTCCAAACAGGAGATGTGATGTGAATATGAGCAAGGTATATTAGTTTATCAATGGGCTACAGGAGAAAATCTTGAGATTTGCAGTCTCTGAATTGGGTTGAAACAGAATAAACCGCTATATACTACATTTTTATTGTAATACACTGGTGGTACTTATGAAGGAAAGGCTTTACCTTCAACGTATGTGCCAACCGAAAGAAGTCCCCTTTTACAAAATCTATTTTATCCACAACTCCGTAGATGTTGGCATTATGGCGCGCTAAATCGAGTTTCTCTGGATCCACGTCAATTGCAATCACATAGTTACTCCTATTATATGACACAGCAGAGAATCAAAGAGAGTGAGGTCCTTGAAGAAAAAGACATCACTTATTTATCTACTGCATGTATGCCTGAATAAACCAAAAGGGCAAGTTTCCAAGAATGTGCAAAATGCTACTTGCGGGTAAATAAATCTTGGTTAAATTCGAATTCTACAATCAAGATAACAGATCAATGAACTAGAAATCGCCCGGAAAAAAATATATTTTATATACTCAGAAATGAAGCTCACCTCAATGCGAACTGGATAGCGTTTCCCCCAACTCCGGTGAAACAGTCAATGATTAAGCCTCCTTTGCAGCGGGTTGCATGATGTTTAGCTATAAGTTCCGGAGTAACAGAAAACCATCCTTCCTCGTCCATTTTGATACCTTCGTCAAACCTGGAGAAAAGGAGGTACCTTTGGCACCAATACTTGCCAATGTTTGCGGAATATTCCTCGAGAATCCCTTTAGATTGAATCTCTGCTCACAGAAATATTTAACAGATTGTAACAAGACCGGCTACAGCTGGAAACTTGAATGTTAACATATGGCATGGTTACTTAGAGAAAACCTATGTTTGAAGTGGACAACGTCTTCTTGGCTCGAGTCTTTCTTGTCCTTTTCCTTTCCTTTCTGATGGAATTGCCAAGCTCTATATCCTTCCTCTCTTCCTCAAGACCATAAATTTCCAAATATGGATTTTTATATGATATTGCTTCGGATGTATCATTTAAACTGCAACCAAGAAAGATATAAATAAAGACCAGGCTTTGTCAGCATACTGGCATTTCGACTATTTTCATATAAATGACATTTTGAGATATTAACATAAACCAAAAGCTTCGTACTGAAACAAATCTGAATGCTAACACTGCCAAAATACATCTGTATATCAAGATTCGGGATTTCTTGTTAAGATTTGCATGACTTTTCAGAACTCACAGGCTAAAATTAGAAGAACTTACAAAAGATGTGGGCCTTCAATCTCTCACAAAGAATACTTGAGTAGCATGATAAAAACAACAACGGAAAAAAGGACCATGTAACAGTGAACTGTAATACCTGCCAACTTCCTCTAGATTCTCTGCTCCACCGGATTCATCTAAGTCTCGAACTGGAACATCCGAGGAAATTTTCATTTCAACAATGAGTTCATCGTGTGGCTTCTTCGTTGTCTCGACACCAGAAGTGATTCCATCGGAAGGACAAAGTGGGCTGCAGTCATCATGTTCAGCCAACTCTTGACCGATTTTGTTCAGATGTGTCGTCCCTGGTGGTGGCAGCCATGTTGACTCTTGTGTTTTAACATTGTAAAAGTAATTTTGCCTGTAAAAGGAATCCCAGTAAACCTTCCACTCCCCAAAATCACCATTGCAATCATAGGAAAGAGACGCCAAACTCGCAGAATTCGTTGTTGATTCTGAGAATGTTGAGTTTTCAGTATCAGTTTTCAAGCGGGTTTCCTCTATAATTCCAAGATGGACATCGAATGAGGTTGTCTGGACAAAAGTGTTTGCCTCGCATGATTTGCCAGCTTCCGTGTCTCCATTACTAGAACCAGAATTCAAACAAGATATTGAACAAATATCAGCCATAGATTTCAGGTTGGATGCGACATCCTTGCCTTCTTCCAACAAAACATCCATGGAAACAGAAGAACCGGAATGAGAAGCTTCATTGAACACAACATCAGCACTTCTACCGCAACATGAAAGCTGGTCTGGATGATCCCTGTTTCGTTCTTCACCAGCAAGCCCCTGCAAATAGTTGGCATCCAATGCAACATCATAGTAAGATGATGCAATTTGGCACGACGTTGACTTGACAGCCAAAGATTCACTCTCTACCTTACTTGCTAAAGGGTCAGGCAATTCATCCATGACTTCTGTCCTACCCGAGGCTGACTTCAAGTTAGAGCCTTTCTTTTGTTGTCCTCTTGCCTTATTCTTCCACTGCATAAATTCCGGAATTCTCAGCAACCAAACAACCAAGTAAACCAAGTCCCAAATTCTCGTAAAAAGAGAAATTTACCTCCTTGTTTGTCTGAAAGGAAAGAGGAAGACCCAGATCCTTCATCTCTTTTACCAATTCAACCTCCTCGGACATGACGTCTTAAACAAAAAACAATGCAAACAAAGGTACAAAATTCAATAACCAATCCTTGAAAGAAACATAAAACCCAAGAACAAAAAAAAAAGGCAAAAAAAAACACAACTTCAGTAATCTGTCAATCATAAAAGCGCAAACTTTGATCAAAACTCCAAGAGTTGAAAAGATGAACTCAAATGTAAATACATACCAGTGATTTCGGACAGATCATTTGGACTGGCATCAAGATTCTTCTCTTGTAAACTCTGCATTTCCGACAACATATAAATTAAAATTAAATTGATGGGAAAAGAAGAACCCAGTTTCCTAGCTATCAGAAAAACGCGACAAAAAAAAAAGAACGCCTACACTGCTGCGTCCATGGCGGACGGGAATTACACGAATCTCCTCCGATCCATCTGCCCTGATAAAATCAAACAGAGGAGAAGCATAAGTTTTACAAGGATCAGAGAGCAAAACACTTGAAATTCGAACGCAAAGACCTAAATTCCGACAACCCTTTTTCTGAAAATAACGAAGAAAGAAAAAGGGAGAGGGTGAAACCATAGATGAACTTCAGTAAGCTTGAGGAGAGAGCCCAGAGCTCTGACAGCTGAACCTTCGTCTTCCACTTCGAAAGTTCTCTAGAGTTCCGACTGTGCCTTCTCCCTGTTGAAAGCTTGTTTGGATCTAAATCTGTACAGCTCGAAATGCCCCTGTGATCTCGATCCTGTCCCCACAAATGTTGCGGACAGAAAAAGATGAGAATTACTTGAATAATGAAACTCAAACTGCGAAATGATATTCTTATTTCTAGCAGAACTAGATGAAGTATCATCAAAAGCTTCCCAAAACGTAATCATGTCAGATATATAACCATCTTGACTACGGGCAAGTTCATCTAAAGATTTCCAAGTTGAATCTGCTATATATTTCTCGTGCATGAACCCCCCCCCCCCCAAAAAATAAACCAGAGCTTCGGTATTCACTGAATACGGCGTCGTCCTGAGTGAATGATATGCTTATTAAATCATTTTTCCATTTTGAAGAAAAAGCCCAATACAATTTATGAACCGGGATAGAATGGGCCAGTCCGGCCCGTCTTGTCTTCTTGACTCCAGTTCGATTTCGATTTTGGGCGAATTGGTCTAAAGACATGGAGGAAGGCTATGAAGAATTTTCTCAATCCTGCATCCGTCTCTGGTAGAACTCGGAGGTGAAGCAAGGTACGGAGCGCGAAAACGGAAGGCTATGGAGGGCGGCGAGTTTGAGGAAGGAGTTGTGACGGAGGAGGAAGCTCCGAGTTCGGAGACTGTGGTTTCACCGGCCAAGGCGGAGAAATCGCCCTACGTGTTGCTCCGAGAGAGCAAATCCTCCGCGGGGGAAATCGTCGCGAAAATGCTCTCCATCAAGAGGGAAGGAAAGCCAAAGTCCGAGATTCGTGAGCTCCTCACGAATATGTTCCTCAACTTCGTCAATCTTCGTCAGGTTCGATCCACCGACGTCTCGGGCTCTCTCCAACTTCTCCTATTTCTCATGTCTGGAACCTAGGGTTTGGTTTTGTCTTGTTCACCTCAGGCGAATCGTTTGATTATGATGGAGGAAGAACGAGTTAAGGCGGAGACGGAGCGAGCGAATGCGCCGGTGGATTTCACGACATTGCAGCTTCACAATCTGACGTACGAGAAGAGTCATTACGTCAAAGCCATTAAGGGTCGAAGAGATTTCGAGTCCAAGTATCCCGACATCGATCTTGTTCCCGAAGAGGAGTTCTTCCGGGATGCTCCTGACTCAATCAAGTGTCCTACACTGTCCAATGATAGTTCCCATGATATGATGCTTAAGAGACTAAATTTTGAGCTCCATCAGGTGACTTGATTCAGCATCATCATCACTGATTGCCCTTGAAACTTTTGATATTATCATGTTCTGGCATAGAATGGCGTCTCTCCTGTCTGGTCGTATTCCGAATGGAAGAACATTAGGATGTGGAGTTGTGCTTTGTTTTTGCCGACCTGTGTTTTCTTGCTCTGGAAATTCTTGCTTTATAAGATACTGAGAATCTGAGTTTTTGATGTGATTCATTTCTACTTGTTGCAATATTTGATTTTGCAAGTGATGAAATATCTGAGAGGTGATATATGTTGTGTGATTCAGCGCAAAGACTTATGCAAGCTTCGAGCAAGGTTAGAACAACAGAAGAAGAGTTTACTGGAAACTATTTCAGACCGGAAGAAGTTCTTGTCGAGTCTTCCTTCCCACCTCAAGTCTCTAAAGAAAGCATCTCTGCCAGTACAGAACCAGTTCGGTTTGCAGGACACAAAGAAAATGAAGCATCATCATCATCTAGCTGAGCTGCTTCCTCCGCCGCTTTATGTAATATACTCGCAGCTCGTGGCGCAAAAGGAAGCTTTTGAAGAAAGCATTGATCTGGAGATAGTTGGGAGCCTCAAGGATACTCAATCTTATGTTCGGCAACAAGCTAATAAGGATCCGGGCAAGTTCTTGTGATAAAACCTTGTTATCCGGTGCTACTCCGAAACAAAAAAAAAAGAATGAAAAAGAAAATAGGTGCTGATTTGTGTTAATATTTCAGGTATGTCCAATAGTACAGAGAGTACCTGGTTGGATGATGATGATGATGATGATGATGGACAAAGGAGAAGGAAACGGCCAAAGAAACTTAGCGGCAATCAGGGTTCTGATCAGGCAGGATTATATCAAGTTCACCCTCTTGAAATCCTCCTCCACATTTATGACGATGAGATTCCCGATCCCAAATCCCGAAAACTTGTCGTGCTCAAGTTTGAGTACTTGTTGAATTTGAATGTCATTTGTGTCAGCACTGAAGGTTCTCGGGATGGGTCTGAGAGTGATGATATCTTGAGCAACTTATTTCCAGATGACGCGGGCCTTGAGCCTCCTCATCAGGTAAATGGGTGTTTCCTGTCACTTTATTATCCACAGCTCTTCCATTTATGCAATATTTTTCTCTCGAATTCCATGCTCGATTGTCTATGACATAATGATGATGATGATGCAGTCGGCAAAGCTCATTCTTGGTGATGGTCGGGCATTTGACGAGAGCAGAGCTTCAAGGCCGTACAAATGGGCGCAGCATTTGGCTGGAATCGATATCTTACCAGAGATGTCACCATTTTTAGCCGGCCGAGATGGTGAAAGCAGTGGTGATGGCCCTAAAAATGATGATACCATGACTCATCTCTCGTTGTATCGGCAGCAGCATAGAGTGCAAACACTTCTACAGAGACTACGCACTAGGAGAAAGGCTCAGTTGGCTCTTGTGTGAGTCACCACTCTCTGTACGCTGAAATTCAGTAGAAGAACCTCGAGATATTTATAAACAGTCATTGTTTGCAAACGGAATATCCGACAAACTTGTCATAGTGAAGGAATTGCAGTTGGTAGTGAAAATATTGAAATTGAAGTGTGTGTATTTATATATATATATATATATATATCATCATCATCATCATCTTCATCATGAACCCTCCAAAGAGTACATTTCAGTTAAATAACGAACTTCCCCTGAAACGGTGAAGACCTTGAACGAATTGAACCATAACTAAGACAAGAGGCCAGATAAGTTGAGTTTGGTGAAACATAAACAAGCAAAATCCATTCTATGTCGGGTATGTATATCTAATATATATATATATATATATATATATATATATAGTATAAGAACTTGTATAGAGAGAGGTTACAGTATAAAGGAAGAAAACTCTTCACTAAACCTAAGGATGCGAAATAAATATAAGTATCATCTCTCTCTCTCTCTCTCTCTGGCTGGTTTGGTTATATACAGAAGATTAGCAAAATCAACACAAACCCCCTAATCAAGAGAGTCTCTCAGCTTTTGATCATCCTTGACCTTCACCAAGGTCCAGTCTGTGTTCTCCTTAGCCTTTTCATGGGTCCACCTTTTACATTCTTCACCTCATTCGCCTGTTTATTTAGACACCCTCAAGTCAAAGGTCAAGAAAAAAGGACTCGACTTTGGAGCTAACAACGATGGCTCGGTCTCGTCCATATCTAGAAACCGTAACGAGAATGGTCCAAGATGCACCATGGCATATGGTATTCGCCCATTTAGTGATTTAGAAAAGACAGTCTCAGTTTCAAGATGCATCAATAGGATATGGATGGTTATGAGGTTGAATTCTAAAGTGATTGAATTAATCCATTAAGATGCTAACGAAAGTATCAGAAGGAGAAAAGGGTTACCTGATTCTTTTGCATCTCCACCATCTCTGCCTGCAAATATGGGTTGACAACAAGAGAATGTAACTGATATGATCATGTAATAACCATTTGATTAACTAAAGACAACATCAGTTTACCTGTTTCCTTCTTAGCTCCTGGTTCTCTTCCTTCAGCTTTGCAACTTCAGCTTCAAGCTCCATCGTATAAGCCTATACAACGAAGAGAACTTACACGGTTTCGAAAGCATCAAAGTCCACAGACACAAAACTAGACAGACAGGAAAATTGACATGGATTTCTTAAAAACATGTTTTGTTTTTTACATTTTTCCGCGCTCAAAATCATTTTCTACCATGATCATTCATGAACATTTGAATAATGGCAACCTGTGTCGCTTGTAAACTTCATTCAGCTACCACAAGGTTCACAAGAATTTTGATAATTTCCCATTAAACTCCTTTCAATGATCTTGTTTTCTACTACAAAATTTAGCAGAAGAAAATTTTCGGTTCTTCATTGTAGCAAACGTGCTAAAATTTGAATTGATCTCTTCGGTTAGTCCAAAGAGACAACTTAGACTATTGCTTAACACTAACCCAACCAACCCAGTTAGAGTTCTACATGAAGTTTTGTCTTTAGCTTGAAACACAACCAACAGTGTATATATACATATATATATATATATGTAAGAAAGCAGAGATATATATGAACCTGCTTTCGAGCCCGTGACCTTGCTGCTGATTCTCGGTTCTTAATCATTCTTCTCTGCCTTCTCTCAACGACTTTTTCCACGGCACCGCTCCTCTTCCTACCCCTAACGCCGCCACTAAACATGTAAGGTGAAGGTGACACTGATGAAGTATCGCCATTATTACTCTTCCCTATCCCATCTGATGAGAGTGGAGTAACAGGAGAAACTCCCCCAACACCCATGGCTCCAGCTAGGCCCAAGCCACCACCCACCATTAAACCAGAGCTTTGAACCAATCCCGCATTTCCTCCGAGACACTGATCAGCAATTCCCATCAGACCACCTCTTATCCCATGACTATTATTAATCTGACCACCCGGTAATGTCATTTGTGTTCCATAGCCAAAACCTGGTTGCTTTGGCACGATGGGCTGCTGCTGAGTTGATGACCTAACGCCATTAACATTCAGAGGCAAGATAGAATTTTGCACTGACATTTGGTTTCCACTCTCTGGTCCAAGATTGCCCATCAAACCGGAAACCCTCGAAGCCTGCTGAAACCCGAGAACCGAGCCCGAGTTATTACCACCCGAATGGGACGTATCACCGAAATATCCGCCATTGTTAACCTTTCCTCCAACCTGTGTTTCCTCTCTGACAACCCCAGCTCGAACCAAGAACTCCTCTAAGGTTATTTCCCCTAAAGTCTGTTGCCTCTGAGGCATGCCTGATCCTCCAGTTCCATTGTTGATGTCTTTACTCGCGGTCGCAGTCGTGTAGTCCTTCGAGATATCTTTCCATACTTCATCGACCGTCTTTTGGCTAAGGGTTCGAGGCAAAGTTAATGAGCCCTGCCTCTGCAAACCCTCTTGACCACGGACGGCGCCGGCTTCGACGCCGCTAGTGGAAGCCATGGCTTGTGTCTCTTCAGCACTCCATATGTTCTTGAGCAACTCGTCCATGTTCATAGACCCAAAATCTTTGCCCAAACTTGACTGAAACTCGTCGAATGTCAAAGAGTATATCGATCCTTGTCGGTTCAACGGAACATTACCCGGCGGTCTGTTCATCCCTCCGCCTCCGCTGCCGCCGCCGACGTCTCCCGGTGGCTCATTACCGAAGTTGTTGAAATTCAAGTAACCACCCATTTTGACAGATTCTGTCTGAGTCCGACGAATTTAGCTCAGGCTAACCCGAATCTCGGATCTTCAAAGCAAGAGCACCGATCTGAAAACGATTGTGAACACAGATTAACGATCTCAACCTCGAAATTTATAGACCCATGAGCTCGAAATCCCGAAAATCCAGGAACCCAATTCACAGAATCAGATCACAAACAACAAAAGTATCCAAAAATTTTAAAACCTTGATTCAGAAAGTAATGAAACCCCCAAAAACCACATCTTGGAAATGGATAGATCCGAAATTTTGCAGGAAACGAAGAAAATCGGATTTCAGCAATCCAAAGGATCATTCAATGATAAGAAATCTGAGCCAAGTAAGTACATTATACCAAATTAAGCATACAGAATCCGGACATAAATGGTAATAACTAAGAAGAGAAAATAACAAATCAAGCTTAACATTATCCCATTGGAGAAAAGACACATTAAGAAAAGGAGAGAGAACCTGTTTTTTCAATTTCGAAAGCTTCCGCGGCTTCTTCTTTTTTGCTGACTGTAATCTCGCAGCTTCTTTTTTTTTCTCCCGAGTTCTTCTTCTTCTTCTTCTTCTCAGAAATCTATCTGCTTGGTATGTGGTCTAAAGATGTCTGAATGTTCGCGTGTTTTAGGCACTTTTGTCTGCAACGCCAAGTGTGTCCCATTGTTTCCCATCCAATTTATATATGTATATATATATATATTTATGTTTATTTTGTATGCCTTTGTTCCTCTTCCTTGATTGGATTCTTTTATCCTTGTATTGATTTTATTATACGACCGAATAATCCCAATTTAGTATGGCATTTCTAAAAAAAAATTAAGAAAATAATAGATCGTCATGGCTAAAGAAGGATAGACGAGGTGAAAAAATTATACTCTAATTTCAATATATATATATATATATATAAGAAACGAAAAATATGAAATTATGTTTCTCTCTATTTTATGAAATTATGAAATTATCGGAATAATTCGATTGGTTATTAGAGATACAAAGTCAAAGATACCATTATCCGTAATAAGCTCGTTTTTTTGGGGTAATGTACTGTGGTTCTTACGAATTCCACTTTTAAAAAAATATCGATATTTTCAATAGAAAAACTAAATATCTGAGTTTGATATTATATTATATATACATATATACATATATTTATATGTGTGTGTGTGTGTATATAACTCAGGCAAAGTTGTTTAAGGTGGCTGCCAAGTTCAATGTTAATACTATTTTTTCCTATAAAATGTTATTTCTTGAAAATGAACTTTAATTTTCAACTTAAGGTTCTCTATTAGTTTTTACATAAATTAAATCTTAAATAATTTTATGGGTATTAAAAAATCAGGAATGACAATGTAAAGAAAATATTTTAAAATACAATCACAAAATCATATTAACAAATTAATGGGTTTTAGTTGGTAATTCTTATAATTGGTAAAAGATCCATCTAGAGATCTAATAATATATATATATATATATATATATATATATATAAAAATGATCATTTTCTATCTTTATCTCAAGACAACACATAATAAA